CCCCTGCTTCTCACAGCTAGTTAGATGTGTATTGACTTCTCGAAGCAGGATCTCAATAATACAACCTAGCGATCGTAGCCGTGTAAAATCGATTTGTTTATTATTTTCAACCACGAAATCAGCTGTCAAAGTGTTTGACTTGACAGCGGTTCGTTTTTTTTTTTAATTTTCAACCAGTAAAATGCATGTATTAGTGAAAATTCTCACCAATACTAACGATGGTGGAGAACTCTATTGAGGTCCCCAACAACTGCCAAATTTGAACGAATTTGGTTATGGGCTGAAAAACGGGACAAACCTATTCATTTGCTTGTCAAAAATGACTCAAATTTGACCAAACCTTTAACTTAGATTGGTAATACCAACAATCAATACGAAACTAACGAGTTTAAATTGGCTCACCACTTTAGTAGCCTATTGGTCCCAAGCAAACGATTAACGTACCCTATTCTAGTTGAAATTCTATTACTACACTATGTTTGTTTTGATTCGCTATGAAAGTTTGACACACAACATCAGGGGTGTGTGGATTCATGCAGAACATGCAGGGGTGAGTGAAATAGCTTGGGACTGCTTGGGACCGTTGTTCTGGTACTGAGTGAGCCAAAAATAATAATGATTTTCTTCGGGACCCAGTGGTCTTAGAGTTACCTCTATGGTAATACTATGCAGAACAACTTTGTCTAATATCGCAGATCGATTTGACTTCTGGACAAAAAGTTATTATTTTACTTTAGGTCAAGTGTTTGGCGCATACCTACAGGTGTATAAATAAGCACTGGGTCTAAAGTAAAATAATAATAACTTTTTGTCTAAAGCCCTGCCAATTTAGAGTCGGTACGCTTTCAATCGGTTGTATCTCAATTTTTGCAGTGTGGACGATGAATCCGAAAATCCAAACTCGTACATAATCTACCATACCTGATCTCGATCGATTAAGTAATATGCGGATTTGAAATCGATGAACAAATGATGTGTGGGTAGGTTGTATTTGCAGCATTTCTGCCGAATCGCGAAAATTTGGTCCGTGGTAGCGCGGGCACCCATGAATCCTGCCTGGTATTGCCCCACAAACTCTCTTGCAAATGGTGACAGGCGGCGGCATAGAATTTGTTCTAGGGGCACGCAATAACCTTTAACTCCAACACAGGCAACGGCAGTAATTAAATTAATTCCATTAACTACTGCTTTAATTATATTAATTACACAATCTATACTTTTTAACTCCATAAATTACAGTTGAAATTTCGTAATTAAAGTACATTAATTACATTTTCAATACTTTTAATTACATTAATTATGGATAGATAATTTTAATTACCGTCAGTACTACCACAAACGAAGTGACAGACGACTAACTGGCGAAGAAATCCATTAAAATAATGTGGTTCTCTGTAATAGAATTTTCTTGGAAGCTTGTGCCATCATCCACCAGATGGGTTAGTTTCTTTGTTTTGATTTGAACAAAGTTGTTTTTGTGTATAATAATTCTTTGGCAGTGTGCGAAGAGTGAATCATTTTGTCATTTTTTTATGCATTTCAGTTTTGAGTAGAGTGAAAGAGATAGAACCAAAACATTCTAATACATTTGGTGAAAATACTAGTACAATCCAGTAGTAGTGTTGCCATGTGGTACAATCATAGAGGTAACTCTAAGACCACTGGGTCCCGAAGAAAATCATTATTATTTTTGGCTCACTCAGTACCAGGACAACGGTCCCAAGCAGTCCCAAGCTATTTCACTCACCCCTGCATGTTCTGCATGAATCCACACACCCCTGATGTTATCTGTCAAACTTTCATAGCGAATCAAAACAAACATAGTGTAGTAATAGAATTTCAACTAGAATAGGGTACGTTAATCGTTTGCTTGGGACCAATAGGCTACTAAAGTGGTGAGCCAATTTAAAATCGTTAGTTTCGTATTGATTGTTGGTACAATCCACTACTACTAGTGGTGTTGCCATGTGGTACACTGAAAAATTGAAATAGCAGGTTAGTCACCAAAGTTTTTGAGCCGCTCCGTCTGTCACTTCGTTTGTGGTACTACTTCAAAACGCATTAATTACTTTAAGTACTTTTGATTGTATTTTAACTTCAACGCACCCGGTTCTTTGTATTGCGTACCCCTCGAATTTGGAAGAGTATCGCGCGGTAGTTGCAGCAATCCAACTGGTCACCCTTTTGTAGATTGGGCATACGATGACCATAGCTGAGCCAAAAAGTTGAGCACGTTTCTTCGGGAGCTTCTGGTCTTAGAATTATCTCTATGGTGGAGCGCTTTAGTCAGTGCTTCACCACCGTATTTTAATAGCTCACTTGATAGTTAATATAAACCAGCTGCTTTATTGTTCTTCAGCCGACCGATCTCCTCCTCAACTTCTTGAAGATCAGGGGCCGGTAGCCTGTCGTCTTCTGCACGTGCTCCAAGGTCTGTTGCCGTGCCACCTTCGTTTTCTGCTGCATCACCGTTGAAGTGCTCGTCATAGTACTACCATAGAGGTAACTCTAAGACTAGAAGGTCCCGAAGAAACGTGCTCAACTTTTTGACTCAGCTCTAGTACCAACAATCAATACGAAACTAACGATTTTAAATTGGCTCACTACTTGACTAGCCTATTGGTCCCAAGCAAATCGACTAACGTAGCCCATTCTAGTGTAAATTCCAGTACTACACTATGTTTGTTTTGATTCGCTATGAAAGTTTGACAGACAAAATGAGGGGTTCGTGGATTTTTCTATATTTCGAAGGGTGCATCGGGTGGGGCTTCCCTTAGCTCAGTCGGTTAAGGCGCAGCTACAAAGCAAGACCATGCTGGATGCGGCTGGGTTCGATTCCCGGTCCGGTCTAGGAATTTTTCAGGTTGGAAAATTTCTCGACTTGCCTGGGCATAGAAGTATGATTGGACTTGCCACACAATCATATAAATGCAAAAATGGTACAGGCATCGAAAGCTCTCAATTAATAACTGTGGAAGTGCATCTAGAACACTAAGTTGAGAGCACGTAATAAGCTAATATGCGATATGCAATAAGCTTGAAATGCGAAGAAGAAGAAAGAAGATCGATTAACTTGGGACCGAAGAGAGTACCAGAGCTGAGCCAAAAAGTTGAGTTTGAATGAAAATCACAATCCCCCCTATTCTGCGAGTCACGTGACTCTCTCTCTCACCGGTGAGGTGACAATTGTCACCTCGTGTGAGGTGACTCTCAATTTGATTTGCACGGAGAGTCACCTCACACGAGGTGACAATTGTCACCTCACCGGTGACAGAGAGTCACGTGACTCGCAGAATTAGGGGGAATGATAATCCTGATAAATTCTTAAATATTAAATGTCTTGACTAACAAATAAAAGCAGATTCGTGGACATTAGAAGCATATTTTACGTGGTGATACATCAAGTTAAATTATTTCTTCAAAACAACGTTAATTTAGACACTGTTCAACAAAAAAAATGTAAATGGCATGCATAGCAACTTACATTAGCATTTCACGCTTCCATATGGCCTGAAATGATTTAAAGGTGTTTCTTGATCTCAGTATTTCTGGAACTGCACTTCTGTTCAATAATTCAAGAGGTATTCTTGAAATAAGCATGACAAAAAAATTGAATTAAATAGTTGCACGAAACTTGTTCTATTACTACACTATTTGCTAAAACAAATTGAACCCTGCATGTACATCCAACAAATTGCAAAAATCCAAATTTCCACCCCTGAATGACTTACTACTAAACATTAAATGTGTATCCCGTCTCGTTCTAGCTCCTTCCCGACGTCCAGCCTAGATTGTTGTGATTGGAATCAGCGAGATGGTCCATAGAAGAGGAATTCGCGCAACCACGACCAGTCAGTGGCGATTTTTTTAGTTTAAGGTTCATATTATTCAATCAGTACTTGAATGGATGAAGTTTAAAACAAATATATTTGGAAAAAAATAATACTGATAGCACTGCATCAAAAATCAAATGAAACAGTGACAATGATTGTAGCGGAAACATAAAACAAACTGTATATGATAGGATGTGTTTCATTGTGACGTAAAAAAAACTAGAACAATAATCTAGATGGAATTTTGTACCAGGAAAGCACTAGCAACTAGTAGGATCAATGTGGCATACTAAAACAGGAAACCCAAAATTATATAGAAATAAAACCAATGCAAGAGAACAGACTGAGGAGCAGCTTAGGCTTGTAACCCGTGATCCGAGCAAATACTAATCGCACGATTTCCGTTTGTAACGAATGCTAATAACAAACCTCCTGAATAACCCTTCCTAACAACTGAATGTTACCATTCCTTCCCTTTAATCGAGAAGCCGAGTGTGGAGCTAACCTCTTCCCTTAACCTCTATAGAGTTTTGTTTGGTTCATATACTTCTCGCAATGGATGTGAAATACAACACGGAGTCTAATCGGTCTCTTTCTTCCCTACGTCCATCCAGGTCACCCAGAGTGCGCCGACTTCCTGCTGATGGATTCGCCAGTGGCGCTTCCAATGGTGCCACCACTGTACGATTACGATGACGACAGCGACATCTAACCGATGACGACGTGATGATCATCGCAAGGCACGAAAAATACTGTGTGGGAGAACTGCGATTACGGGCCCTTGCGAAACGAGATTAACTAACAAGACGGACAAGTCGAGCGAAAGAAATTTTTGAAACACACAAAAAACAGTCAATGATATTCCATTCGATTTAAGTGATTGTGAAATAATTTGTACACAAATAAATAGTTCGAAGTGAACAAAACACCGACGACAAGAATATTGAAAAAAAAGAAAACGTTGAAATTACCAAAGATGTAAATATCATTGTAGTAGTTGTAATAAATTATTAACTAATACTAAAGTTGGTGTAAATTTTCTTTACGATTTGTGTTGAAATAAAATTCTGCATAAAACTTTAAACTAGAAATCATTAGAAAAGAAAGCCCATAAGATGTTTTTGGATGGATTTCGAAGAATTCTACTACTACAAATTCCAGGGTTCATTCATTCAAGGATCCTTATATTAATAGTCTATATTATAACGATTCCTAAAAAAACGAAGATCAGTTTCCCTTCAAATTCCTGGCATATTCTGACAACGCGCTTTGAGCCTAAAAACTAAATTAAGTCATACTTCTAGACAAGAGGGGACAACGTTTTGTTGCTTGCTTGCTTGCTTTGTAATACACAATCATACCACAATTGCGTGAATTAAAAAAGAAAACTTTAAAAATAACCACAATTGATACTGGCATTCAACACGAAGTAAAAAAACAAGTTAATAAATAAATTAAGAGCGAGTAGACTCCCCTTCCCGGTGCGCGTGTGTGTGAGCACCGATCAATATTCGTAGTAAAAGTTGTATATGCACGTCGTACTAGACATTTGAGGTGTCCCTCTCGCGCGCAGATTAGTCCGTGCCAAAGTACTTCTGGCCAAAGTGGTTCGGTGCCGAGGGATGCAGCTCCGAGGTGAGGATCTTCATTTCGGGGAACGCGGTCACAACCATGGAAGCGGCCGCCGGTGTGCAGAACAGATTCGAAAGGATGATTGCCGTCTCGGGGACTCCGTGGTCTTTCAATACGTTGACTGCCTGTTGGGAGGAAAAAAACAAACAGATAAGCTTAGGAGTCACAACGATGAACACACACTAGCATGCTTTAATTTTGGGAAAATTAGTGGTTATTATGGCCCTAAATATGGGTCTATGCAACAAAATGATAATATTGATTAAATTCATATGAACATTCAAAATTGCAATTTCAATTGGCTGTCAGCAAATTTGATGTACCGTACTCAAACGTTATTGAAAGTCCTAAAATTTTGCAAAAATGAAAAAAAGATTTTACAGAAAGTGGTGTAAATCCAGACCCCTTTATTTATTTTTCAAGTTGTATTTGTCAGCTATTACAGCAATTACTAAAAGCACCCAAAATCGCTTCAAGAATTGAAGCCGGGAATATTTTTTTTTCTTTATTTAGGAGCTGCCGGGAATATTAATTACGTCCGGGATCAAGGAAAATTGCAGGATTATCAAAGATCAGGGAACTTCGCCGAATCTTCCATGTCAATTTTTGTTTATAGCTGGCATTTGTAAAACTTAGAAAAGATATTTTTGTAGAGTTCACCAGGCATGGCAAATCATTTACATTCATTTTCAAATGCCTCTAATTTTTTCCATCAACAGAATTCCGAAAAATTATGTATGAAGCTTTTGTAAATTTTGACATTTGCTAAAACTGTTGTGCATAACTCAAATCTATACCTCTTATGCATGACGTAGTTAATTTTAAACCTTACAAATAACTAAACAAAAAGTAATCATTGAATGACAAATTTCGTCAATAATACAGGAGAAATTATGGATCGAAACAATCGTTGGTGGCCACTGGATTTAAGAAATGAATATCGCAGTTTTTTCCCGGTTCGTTCGAAATGGGTTATCGGCTCTATTAGTAGCTTTATAAGCTTAAACTACATAAAATCGTAAAACTAATCGATGGAAACTAAAGATTTAAATTTGGCTCACTACTTGACTAGCCTATTGGTCCCAAGTAAATCGATTAACGTATCCCATTCTATAAAGTATAAATATATAGTATAGTATAAATTCTACTACTACACAATGTTTGTTTTGATTCACTATGAAAGTTTGACAGATAAAATGAGGGGTTAGTGGATTTTCCTTTGTTTCGAGGGGTGAATCGATTAGCTTGGGACCGAAGATAGTACCAGAGCTGAGCCAAAAAGTTGAGCACGTTTCTTCGAGACCTTATGGTCTTAGAGTTACCTCTATGGTAAAACTAGTCTAAACCAATAAATCCGTATCTTACAACACGGCTCTACTTTTCAATTAATCGTATCGTCCGGCCTTTTTCCACAGAGATGGCGCTGTTAATAAAAATCCCCGTATAGAAATTGAGAGAAGTGGGAATAATTCGCTTTCGATGCATATTCAGGTCAAAAAAGTAAACATCAGCCTAATTAAATTAATCAGGGACTTTGTCGTTCAGTTTTCCGGGGATTATTGTTAAACAAACTACAACTAAATACAAATGATTTTTTTCCCATGCAGTTTTACCTGCTTTACTACCAGTCCGCAGAGAGCCAAAAAATTCAAATTTGGGAGAGAAAATTTGCTCTCACTAGTTCAATTTCTCAGCATGCCATGTGTTTTGATGAATCTCTTTTTGTGATTTCCCTCTCACAGTCTACAAAATAGAGTACCTGACACTGTAAGACATGTCTGGTATGCATTTAGATTAACATCTAAAGTCCCTCCTTTTTTACATATTCTGCACAAAAGATACTTTCTGCCCCGCCCCATTCATAGAAATCGGTGGGAAATCCTGTGAGGGGTGAGCTATTTTGTGTGCAAAATGTGTAAAAAACAAGGGACCTCGGATGTTAATCTAAATGCATATATAGAGGTACCAGGCATGTTTTGCACTGCACTGTCCTCTGTGAACAATTCAAGACCAACAATTGAAATAGCCCTAACTCCATTTTGTAAACAAACCTTGTAAGGCCATTTTCTCGCGAACCGAAACCTTCATTCGCAAACCTAAACCACAATCGGGTAGAGGAGAATTTCCCCTACTTGTTTATTATGTTGGTTTGCCTTTGCGGACTTCGGTTCGCGAGAAAATGGCCTTACAAGGTTTGTTTACAAAATGGAGTTAAGGCCATTTCAATTGTTGATCTTGAATTAACGGAAAACATATTATGTGTAGTTTCCGATATATCAGGTATAACATTTGATAATGGCACTAAAGCATTTGTAAACAAACTTTCTAAGGCCCTTTACTCGCGATCCAAAGTACGCCCACGCAAATGTTAAAATAGTGACTTATAGTTGAAACAATAGTGACTAAAAGTGACCTAAGAGAATAAATGTAGTCGTTTTGATGGCACACCAAATAAGTGTTTTTATGTTACTTCATACGCGAAGTTTGCGATTTTCAGAGTTGGTTAAAATGCTATCTATCATGAAGCTATAGTGTGATAATTTATTAGCTAGAGAATGGTCTTAGAAGAGGGTAGGTGGATAGTTCCATTAAAGTACGGAAGTGTGAAAATTTAGAAGAAGTTGAAAATGAGCGAAGGGCCATTGATGCGACAGTGCAAGTCAAACGCACACTCTTTGCCTAACGCCTTGTACGCGGAGATTTGAAGTATGTCTTCAAATCTACAGGCAAAACGTGTGCAGCTGGCTTTGCTCAAATACTGCCTGCGGCTGTGGAATAGTTCTTCAAAGACAGGGCTGGTAGTGCCGATGTGATATAATAGTAGTGATTTTAGTGACTAAAATTACGGGAATAGTGTCCAAATAGTGACTTTACAATACTAAATAAGTAACCATTTATATGATAGCTTAGAAATTAAAATACGGTTTGATATTGAAATAAACTTTTTATGTCATGGAATTTAAAATCAAATTTCATAAATTCTTCTAATTTAATCGAATCTCACAACGGAATCTCCTGTGAAGAGCATTTGCAGTGATTTGAATAATTTACTTTTGCTTACGTTATATATGATGACTAGCAAATAGTAATTCCCTATGATCTTGTATTTGATTCTGCGTTCGAGATCTTTTAAATTTTGATATATCTAGGTAGATGACTTTGATAATTCGCTAAGAACTTTTCTCAGAATTTCTTCAGAATGCTCTTAATAACTTTTTTATAATAATTCCCCTTCTCTTAAATTTAGAGGCAAAGAAGCTTTTACAAAAATAATGCTGCATTCTTGAATTTTTTTTTGCAGAGCGATCAACAAAATTCTTGGAAATAGATTCTTTTCGTAGTTGGAAATGCTTAACATCAAATATCAGAATTAAAATGGACATTTTAGACGATGTATGAGGAGATGAAAGTAAAGAGTTGATAGTTCCGTTATAGTACGGCAGTGTGAAATTTGTATATAGAAAGTAGAAAGTGAACGAACGACAATTTTGAGGAAGGTACAAATCGGGTAGAGCATCTCCTTTACCAAGCTCATCCGTTAATGAGGAATGGTGAGGGTTGTTTCCCCCTGCCACCACTGGCAAAAGGGATGATCGGCGATTTGCTCATGTACCTCCGATGTGCGGAAACAGTCGCCCTCTGCCGTAAACAACTACCCGATTCGTACCTTCCTCAAAATTGTCCTCTGCTCGCTTTCTACTTTGTATATACAATTTTCACACCGCCCGACTATAACGGAACTATCAACTCTATAATTTAATCTCCTCATCTATCGTATAAAATCTCCACTTTAAGTCTGATATTTGACGTTAAGCATAATAATAACACATGATTAGTTAAAGCAGATCATTTTCGATTTTATATTGATTCTTCTAGGAGCTCCCTGCTGGCCCCTTCCATAAATCCATTTTAAATTTATGTGAATTCTCCTTAGAATTTCCATGCAAATAACCTCAGAAATTTCGTAAATTCTGCTTAGAATAATCTCGGACTTCTTCCTTGCATTTAATTGTAAATTCAATTCGTATTCTCCTTAGAAATTTCAAAACAAAAATCCGTCACAGAATAACTTTGAAACTCTTCTTTGAGATTGAACCTTCAAAATTCGAGTCCATTGGAATTATAGGAATTTATTTCTAACTCTTTATAATTTTCTTGGAATTTCAAAACTAATTTTGAATTGAGGGGGTTAGAGGGAAAGGGGTGTAAGTGACTTTGATCGATTCTCTTCATCGACTTTCTCTTTCGTTAATAATTCAGCTGCAAACACATTCCTTCATTCGTGTGCCAATATAGATGCTAGATGAGAACCTCCTTAGTCAAACTATGTGGCAGAAATAGCACAAAATCTGTTTATAAAGCTGTGACTATCAAAAGAGAAAGTCGATGAAGAGAATAGATCAAAGTCACTTACACCCCTTTCCTTCTAACCTCCTCAATTCTTATTTGAATTGGACCTAGAATACTCGTCAAATCATCATATATTTTTTCTCAGAACTCTCGTTAAATGCACTCTCAATTATATTGGAATTATTTCCAAAATTGTTTCGGAGCTGAATGTTGCGTCTCTAATAATTTAAACAACAATCAAAAGCGACGCTCGTATGTGTTAAGCCAAGTTTAACTATACATATAGGTAAACCTAGCTTAAGATTTAAGCGGAGATGAAGAAATCAGTCCTCAGAGTACTTAATTTTACATGAGACTTTCGCAGTCTATACTTTGGTATTCTCCTCTGATACGTATATCTTGGTGTCATCGCTAGAATCCTTTAAAATTCTCCTAATATTTACTTTGGATTTTTTAAAGTTCTTAATCATCCATTGAAAATCTATCACATACCTTTGGAAAGTTTTCAAGGTTTACAATTTATTTTCTGGGAAAAGAGATATCGGAGAAAATGATTTTTAATCGAAATGCTCATAAACACTTATGTACGATACGAACCTTTAAAGCGAAAGATTCTATAGAAAGTGTATGGCCAAACCCACGGTATTAGTCTACTAACTGCAAAAACCTGGAAAATCGGGATATTTTTTTTTTCCTTAAAATACCTGGGAGACTCAGAGAATTTAATAATTTTCTATATAAGGATATTTTAAAGTAAATAATTAATTTATATGAA